GGGTGGTGAGTGTTGTGGTGGTGGGTGGCAGCTTTGGGTTCACTCTCCTTAAGCTCAAAGCTGCCCAGTGCACCCTGTCACTGGGGCAGAGCCTCTGCTGGAGGGTGGCCCTGGGACCAGAGCAGCTGGGCTGGCCAGGGCATCAGTGGGGGCTGGCAGTTAGCACCAAACAGCCCCTGGGTGCTGGCACAGCCCCTACCCTGGGTGCTCCCAGCTGCCTTGGCCGTTATCTGCAACAGCAGCCAGGGTTGCTCAGGTGCGCTCTGTCCACTGCCAGATACTGGTACCTGCCACGCTGCCAGGCAGAGCCAGGGAGTGGCAGCAGTGGCAGGGTTGGTTCTGTGCCCCACCACCCGCCCTCAGCAGAAAGGTGAGAGGATGGAGGTGGCCAGTTCCCCTCCAGTCCTTCCCTGACTGTCACAGTGACTACCCCAACCATGCTGGCAGCCCCCTTGAGCTGGACGCCCTGCTGCCCTGGGAGCCCCAGCCTGGGGAGAGAGATGGCACCTTCAGGGTGAGTGATGCAGGCAGTGAGGGCAAAGCTGCAACCCCAGTGAAGGGCCAGTGGCAGAGCCCAGAGGCTGTGGGGATGGGAGGATAGCTATGGCTGCTCTGCCGGGGCCCCAGCACTGCACCAGGACCCAGGCTGGGAGGTGGTAGGCACAGGCCAGTGCTGAGCTGGTTGCAGCTGTGTAGTGCTCACCCCACTGGTGCTGCTGTGCTGGGCAGGCAGCCCTCCAGGCTCTGGTCCAAGATGAGGGTGGGAACAAGACTGGCAGAGCTGATGGTAGGCAGGAGAGCACGGCCAGGTTTTTTGGTAGGAGTGATGGGCAGTGTGTGACCGGGCCCCCCTGCCTTTTCCTGGACCAGCTAGTGGGTTTGGGCCAAGGGCCCAGCATAGACATGTCCCCCTACTACGTACCAGCATCAGCTGGAGGAGGAGGGTGGGCACAGCCTGAGCAGGGGGTGACTGCCAGCACCAAGAATTGCTGGGGCAGGTAGCATGTGCTCTTCCTGGCCCTAGGAGGGGCAGGACTGTGGGTGCTGAGGGGTGGGCAGAAGCTGAGTGGGGCTTAGAGTGGCGGTGCCCAGTGCCAGCCAGCTCTAGGCAGGATCGGTCCCCTGTGCCAGCCCCCAGAGCAGGGCACCTGCCCAGGGCTGTGCTGAGGTCTGCATCTCCACAGGACGCTGGTGGACTGCGTGCCCCTGGTGGAGGTGGAAGACATGATGATCATGGGGAAGAAGCCAGACTCCAAGTGCGTCTTCACCTACGTTCAGTCCCTCTACAACCACCTGCGTCGCCACGAGTTGCGCATGCGGCAGAAAGAGTGCTAGAGCCTGCCCTGCCTGCCACCCTGCTGCCCCCTGCCCTCAGGGCTGCCAGGAGCCAGGGGAGCTGCCTGCCCCAGGAGGGTCTGGGGGGGGGCCACGGGACTGGCGCTGGGGCCAGGGGGCTCTACAACCGGGGAAAGCCCACACCTCTGCCTTGCAGGACCTCCTTCTGCCCTGGCTGTGGGCTAGCCCACAGACAAGGCAAAACAGGGCCAGGCAGGTGCTGCCGGGGATGCGCCCCAGCTTGGCTTGCCTCCTGCGTTGCAGTGTGTTATTTGTTCTCCAGGAGCTGTTTGTCCTGTGAGGAGGTGCAGGCACAGCTGGGCCCTTGGGCCTGGGGCTGGCAGCCAAGCAGCTTTGTGCCACCAGCCTGGCTCGCAGTGCATCCCCCAGGCACATGCCTGTGGGCAGCCTTGGCCCCGGCACAGAAGCCCCTCTGCCCACCGTAGGCTCCCTTGGTGCCAGCTCCAGGGCCCTGTGCTGACACCCTGCTTTGCATGTGCACCCAGGGCACTTCCACACCATGGGGCTACAGCACCCATGTGCTGGGGAGCGGGCGGGAGGTGAGGGGTCCTGAGGGCGGAAGGGGCCCAAGGAGCAAGCCGGGATGGCAGCCCCCGCTCTCCCCCCAGCTCAGGGCACCACATACTCAGTACCACTTGCCCCTCCATCACCGTTCTCTACCCCTGTGTTGACACGTGTACCAACACCAGCCAGATAATAAAAGATTATTCTATAGGGTGATGCCTCTGCCTCAGGTCCTTCTCCCTGGCCTCACCACTGCTTTGTGCCACCAGTGCAGTGCAAGCCACAGTGCCCAGGGGAGTGCTGGCAACCCTGCCCGCTCTTGGACTGCTGCCTGCAGGCCCACCGCTTGCCAGCCCAGGGGAGACACAGGGCGTGTGCTGCCCCTGCTCGGGGACAGCATCTGGAGCTAAGGGGCACCATCAGTGTCCCACCCTGCTCAAGGGCTGTTGGTTCTTTGCCCCATGCTCCCCCCAGGCCTGGCACAGGTAGAACACCCCCCTGGCTGCCACTGAGGCTGCGCAGAGCCAGGTCTGCAGCCTGTGCAGCTCTGCCCTGTTCCTTTCCCCAGCCAAGGGCCCTGCCAGGCCTGCACAGCCATCAGGCTTTAACACTGCAGGACCCACTCGGGGGGCTTGTGCCTGTCTCCTTGCACCCTGTAAGAACAGCTCATCCCAAGCCGTGGTGCTCGCACTGGGGAGGGGGTGGCAGAGGAACAGCTCGGTTGGTCTGTGACTGTTTGTTGACTCACCAGTGGTAGCTGTGACCCTGCCATCCTCACCTCTGTGAACAGCTCTAGGGCACACAGACCCTCCCAGCACCCAGTACAGAGCAGTGCAGGCTGCATCCCACCAAGCCCTCCCTGGAAAGATGTCACAGTGCAGTCGATTGGACACAAGGGCTTTACTGGGGGCTGGATACAAGACAACCCTGCTGGGGTTTAACAGGCACATCCCTCTGCTGGGGGCAGCTCTCCCACCTTTGGGACTCAGCACATCTACCCTCAGCACCTGGGGCTTTCTGCTGAGGGTTTCATCCTGTCCCATGCAGGTAGGATGCCGCTGCCCAGTGCTGGCAGTCAGCTAAACCTTGGGGCACAGTGAGGGAGCGTGAAGAATGCTGCTCCTCCCCACTGGCCAGGGATGCTGGGCTACAGGGGCGGGAGGGCAGGAACAGTCACACAGGACCCCTGGGATGTCCACAATGCCCAGGAAGCCCCTGGTCAAGGCTGGAGCTGCTTAGGGCATCCTCAGGGCATTGGCTACACAGCATCAAGCAACAGTGGGTGCACCTCTGCCACTCCATCGTGGCACCATCCCCAGCTGCTGCAATGCCCTTATGCCCACATGCTGGGGACTGGCTGCAAGATCCTCTCCCAAGTGCAGCACCCCTTGCTAGAGGTCTGGGTGTTCTCCCTCATCATGTTTTGGTTGGGTCTTGCCACCAGTGGTGACAGCTTTGGGGGCCGGCAGGGTGGGCAGAGGCCTGGCAGGGGCAAACCGGAACTCCTCAGGCACAGGCGCATCAGGCGTCTCCTTGCGGTAGAAGCCCAGCTCCTGCACCAGCTGGTTGATCTCCTCCTGGGTCATGTCGCTCAGGGGGATTCTCTGCATGCAGACAAGGGTTAAGCCTGGTGCCAGTGGGGCACTGACCACCCCAGACCCTGCTGCGGCAGCAGGCGCCGCGCTGCCCACTCACCTCCAGCTCCTCGTATCGGTGGCTGAGGAGCACAAGTTCAGGGTCAGCTCCGGGCAGGTGTTTCATCTCGAGGTTGTGGCTGGACGGTGCGTTAAGGAGCAGACAGTACCGGGCAGGCAGATGCAGCCCCCTGTCCCGCTGTCCCCCATCCCATCCTCCACACCATTCTGTCCACCATCCCACCTCATCCTTCACCTCACCCCATCCTGTCCCACCCCATCGCATACTCCATCACACCCCATCCCCCAATCATCCTGTCCTCCACCCCTCATCCAATCCCATTTTCCAACTCATCCCGCCCCTCAGCCCACC